CTGTATAAAGATATATGTAATTTTAAATAGAAGTAATCATATTTCATTTTCCACGTTAAAAAACCTATCATAAGAAAACAATTTTTCATAGTTTTTTTCTCTCTTTTTTTGTAGCATTTTCCGGAATCCAATATACCTTTGCATTTTTTGAAACGTAACCCTCACTTGTATTAGTTAAAACTTAAAAGTAGCCAACCCTGCACTTTACAATGGCTGACTAGAAACCCTTTTCTGAGGGCGCTTTCTAACAATGTTATGTGAATCCCTACACTTTTGAAATAGTGCCCAAACTTTTGATCTATTTTTATTTAACGCCTTAAAACACACCATTGACAATTTGGAACTTGTGGTTTGTAGTCTTTGTACTATATCATCTCTGGCACATCAAAGACTCTACCACAGACACTAGGCATGTGGAAATACAGGCAAAAATATTACAAAAATTAATATTAGAAATGTTGTGAAATTTGCAGCAATATGTGATGAACAGTGCAGTCTGCATGGTGGTGTATGCGACAATGGAGTGTGTGAGTTCCGGTGCTCTGACTATGCAGGTTACACCTGCCAGAACAGCACGATGCTCCTCCCGAGCCTCTCAGTTTGCAAAGATGTTCTGAGGAAAGATGCTCTTTGGCAACACTGTGCTCCTAGTGAGTTGAGCATTTTGCAGCAGCTTGAAGAAGTTGTTGTGATGCCCAACTACCACCGACTCTTTCCAGCCGGCCCCCGTAAAATACTTAACCTCATTCGAGGCCGTGACTGTGATGGTGCTTCAAAGCGTTTAGCTTGCTGGGTTAGTTTTCCTCAACAGTTGATACATGTTTTAGTCTCTTACATTCTTACTCTCTTGGCTATGTGCTACGCTTTATGACTCAATTTGCATCTCGACTATTCAATTTGGCCTCACTTTCGTCCTCAAGAACATTGTAGTGCACTACCAGTCTCCCACTTGGTTGTGAAAAAGGAAAAGTTTAAAGAGGACCATTTAGCCTCTTTACGTATGATTAAAAATAAGTTTTCATAATTCAGCAAAATTTTGGTATTACCAAACAGGCTCTATTATAGGTATAAAGGGTATTTTGGTTTGTTGAGGACTAAATCGAGTCCAAATTACATAGTTGAGGATCAAGTGGTGTCTAAATCTGCTTGACAAAAATATTCATCTGATTTGGAAATTTGGAACCAAATATGCATAAGAAACTAATTTTGGCCTAAATAGCCCAAGGATCAAATTGAACAAAAGTGTATAGTCTAGGGATGAAACTGGATATGAACTTTGTGTCCCTTGTTTACATTAGCTAAAGGACACACTGAATCTGTCTCTTGATTTTCCAGATCTCAATCCAGAAGTGTGACAAGGACGGGGATAACAGGTTACGTGTTTGCCATTCAGCATGCCAGTCGTACAACTCAGCATGCGGAGCGTCTCTCGACTGTTCAGACCAGACGTTGTTTAGCAGTGATGGTGAGGGTGAGGGCGTATGCACGGGGTGGGATGAGTTTATGTAAATTATAGGCAGCCAAGTGTATGTCTTTTTTTTGTAATCATATTTATAATTGTAATGTTGTACTAGTGAATAGCTTTAACCAGGTTTAGGCGTGATGAGGCACGAAGTGCCCCATTGTAGAGTATACTAGCTTTGTTGTCAATTGTCATAATTAATTCCCTCTTTCTCCTCTGGGCACAAGCCCGGGGAGATTTGACATTTCATAAATGGTCTTTTTATATTGAATGAATGAATGAATATCGTATGGGAGAAAATTATACAGGAGAAATGTCTCCAAAACGGGCAAACCCTATAAAGACAAACAAAAACAGCAAATTTACTCGCTTGGTTTATTTTGTAAGATTTTTTAACTGCAAATCTGTAAGTCTGTAACTTGGGGAGTTTCCTAGAATTTCATGTAATAAAGTCTAGTTTTTGTGTAAAGTTTACATTACATATGCATTTAGGTGCGCTTAAAGCGAACAACTCTTTTAATCTATTAATGTAGAAAATAAAATACATATTCTTAGAAATAGTATATGCTGCAATCACAACAATCTACCTTTTGTCCAGGCATGGAGCAGGGTCGGGCCTGAGCTGGGCCTAGGCCCAGTCGGGCCTTTTGTGATTGGGGGAAGGCCTGGGACCGGCCCGGATTGCCAGCGGGTCCGGGCTGGGCCTCGGGCCAGTTTACATTTTTTTTTTGCTTTTTCTAATTAACCCCCGACCCCCCCAAACCAGCCCAAATGGTCCAAAATACCTAGTCCAATCTGGAAAGTTAAAAAAAAAAAGAATAAAGCCCGAACCGGGCCCAGAACCGGCCGGGCCGGTTCCATATTCTTTAGACCCATACTCGCCCCGCTATTAGGGGTGGACCGGTTCCGGTTCGGGCCCGGCCGGTTCGCGGTTCTGTTTTGTTGGGCCCGAGCCCAAACTGGTAGCCACCGGTTCTGGGTCCGGGCCACCCGGTTTGTAATTTTTTTTCGGCTTCTCCTATTTAACCCCAACCCATCCCCCTCACCCCCAAACCAACCCAAACCACCTCAAATGGCCCAAAATACCCAGCCCAACCCAAAAACTAGGCATGGCCTCGGTTCGGGCCGCCCGGCCCGGGACCGGCTCGACCCGCTACTGTGCGGGCCCGGCCCGGTTATCCGGGTCCGGTTCGGGCCGGAGGCCCGGGGGTGGGGCGGTTCCGGGCTCGGTTCATGGTTTTGACGGCCCGGCCCGGCCCGGCCGGTTCGGGCCCGGGTCCGGGCCAAATCTATTTTTTTTTATTTTTTTCATTTGTTTTGGGCTGTTGGGCTTGGGCTATCTGTTTAGGCCGGTTTGGGGGGGTTTGGGGGGGGTGGGGGGTGGGGGAAGAAAGGAAAAAAAAAATTAAACCGGGTGGCCCGACCGGCCCGGCCCGGTCCGGCCCGGAACCGGACCCGGAACCGGTGGCCACCGGTTTGGGCTCGGGCCCAACAAAACAGACCCGAGGCCCAGCCGGGCCTAGGCCCGAACCGGCCCGGGTCCATCCATACCAAAAACTTAAAAAAAATTCAGAAAAAAAAATTAAACTCGGCCCGGACTGGGCCCGAACCGGCCGGGCCGGTTCACCAAATGGAGGGCCCGAGCCCGGAACCGAAGCCCACCGGGCCGGGTGACCCGAACCGGGCACTAACCGGTTCACCGGGCCGGTCCGGGCCCACACAGTAGTGGGCCGGTCCGGTTCCGGGCCGGTTTGCCCGGCCCGAGTCCATCCCTATCCGCTATCCTCCCTAAACCGGGCCAGGTCCACACAGTATCGGGCTGGGTGGCCTGAACCGGGTCCATCACTACTTTTGTCAATTGATCCATCAAAGTTCTTGGTATTCATTTCATGCGAATCATTGGAATAAAACGTATGAAAAAATAATTAACGTGGTACATTGAATTATATTGGGACGGTTAATTAGTTGGACCCTATGAAGCACGGATACTTCACTAGGGTGCTGTATCGGCGTATTGGAAATGTTTCCGTATCCGATACTCTAGGATACCCGTATCGTACGTTCCCAGGCAGTATCTGCAAATTTTTAAAAGTTTCCATTTTTTGGTAATTATTTTAAAATTTCGGATACTCGTATCCTCACGGATACTCGTATCAATTTTTTTTTAATTCTTCCAAAATAAACTTTTTAAGAAAACACTCATAATTTACATAATAAATTCTTAAGAAACGAAAAGTTAAAAATAGTTTTTACCTTGCTTTTATGTGCTACACAACTAATGGACCTATCTCTAATTCTAATTCTCCCTAGAAATTAATAGCTCCAATGGAAATATGTATTAGAACTTTTAAAATAATGTTTTCTATCTTCATTATTATAATACTTTGAGTACTTGCACTTTTAATTTCAAAACTGTAGTTGTTTGACTTATTTCTCATTTTAAATTAATTACTTATTGATTATATTTAATTATTTATATTTTGAGGTGAACTAGTGTATATGAGATAAAATATGAACTTATTTCTAAGTATCTTGAAAATGTAAAAATGCTTCAATACCATGAATGAGTAGAAGTCAGAGGATAATATATGTCTATTTTTTTTCTAAAAAAAATGAATTTTTAATATTTATAAATACACCCCTATAAATTTTAATATTTATTAATACACCCCCATAACTTTTAATATTTATAAATATGGCCCCGTATCCGTATCCTACTTTTTTTTTGTTTTGTCATATCCCCGTACCCGTTTCTGCGTTTCCGCGTACCAGTATCGGTGCTACAGAGGTTGTACCAAATATACATTGTGCAATTGTACTTGAGTGCAACAGTAAGTACGCATTCTGGGCTTCATAGTTTATGAACTAATGAAAGTGTCAAAGACCTTGAAAAGTAATACTGAAAATGTGGCTTTGTCAAAAAACATCATCAAAAGAAATACAATTATTGGGTGCGACAGAGTTAGACTTTTGTTCTAGGGTACTTTCGTTCTAGGCGGCACCATCGATTCATTCTCTTCTTTCAAAGAGAGCAGCGGCATTCGCAAGGAAATCGGGAGCAAGGCAAGATGGGGGACGAAAGCATTGATTCCAAGATCGAATGATAACTTTTTAAATATTACAAAAAGCTAACTAAAGGTGTTAATATTGTTGACGGATGCAATTTCCAACAGTTTTTCACTCAAAATTCCAAAAATAGTCGCATTTCAGGAGCGTCATCGGTTATCATCATCATCATTGTCCCAGTGTCGTAAAGGCTCCCACACCTTCGGAGCATACGATGTACTATTTACTTTTTGACGTGCAATTTCCTTCAGGGCATATCGAAGTTATCCTCATACAGTCGTAACCCAGTAGCGGTCTAGGGTCAGTTGACTGGTTTTTGATCTTAGATAAATAATTATACGATTTTGATAAGATTATAGAACGCAGTTCATGCAGACATGCACATTGTCATTAGTAGAACACGAAAAAAAGTCGAGAGAAATCTGGAGGGAAAAGGAAGAGAGAATAATAGACATTGAGTGTAGCGTGTAGGTAACATTGAGGTAAAAGTCCATAATAGAATTAATGATTTTATGTTTACATTCGAATAAATGAAAGTTTGAATACATTTAGACCATTAAAAGTTTATATTAAATACACCTAAACTTATTATCTAACAAACATGATACAAAAACAATTTGAGTTCAAAATGTTTCATCAAAAAGAAAAAGAAAGAACTCAACATGTTTTCTTGACTAAAGAAGATTAGTCACAAGAATCCTTTTGGAACTCTGCAAAAATTGATGAATGCGCTTTCCAGATTTTGAGTGGCGGGGAATGATTTGATGATGACAAGAAAAACTGCTTCCACCATTAATAAGAATGTCCATCAGTAGTTCTTCTCCAGAATCGAAATCACTAATGAACAGAGAAAATTGAAGAAACATTTAGCAAGGTCAAAGAAAAAGAAAAATAGTGATGAGTAAGGTTAAAAGAACCTTATTGCTATTGGACTCTTGGTTAGGGTTTGATGATCCACCCGAGGTCGGACAGCGGTCTTCTGACCGGGAAATAAATTTCCAAAAATAACACTCCTGTTTCACCAACTCTTTTTGTTCAAGGAAAAAGTCTAGTTTTCAAAATCATCTTTCATTTTTGAAACAAACTCGGAAATAAGCTTTCAGGGTACAAGTGATCATTTATGATTTGCAAAAGCTAACACCTTGATTGAGTTGACTAAATATGTTGGTCAAACATGACTCGTAATCACAGAGTACGTTTTCTACTAATGTATTTCAAGACAGTAAAATACAAAATAGTCTTTCATCTAGAAATGCAATTTTAATATTTTCCATCTTCACTTTACTAAAACTATTTGGCAAATACACCAAAAAAATAAATACAAAAGTCAAACAAGCTAATAAGTTGATGGATGCAGTTTCAATTTTAAGTGGAAATGTTTTGGTGATATCAAGCTTGTAAAGATCCCATCATAAGAATGCTACTCCCTCACTCCCTCAGTCCTGGAATTGTTGCCCACTTCGACTGCTTAGATTATTTTTGAACATGAAAAGTGTGTTGTAGAGAATTATGTATACTATCTATTAAATAGAGAAAAACCATATTGGAGGCATGGTGAAAGTCTAGGGCAGGCATTTCAGTTTGGATTGGCCAAACCGAACCGGAACCAAACATATGCAATTTGGTTCAACTTTGATAGTACTTCCTCCAAATAGTACTAAACCAAACCGAACCAAATCCGTTAAAAAACAAATAAAACCCATTAAAACAATTCATTTGAATCTTAATATACTTTTTAAAATAACAAAACCAAACTGAATGAGCCACAGTATGATATTTATTTGCAGATCATTCTTCAGATCCATTTGATATTGAAATGAAAACTGATAAAAAGTATAAACCTAACCAAAATGCCCACACTTGGGAGAAAGTATTCGAGTATGGAGGGACTATTCGGAATATAAATCTTTGATTCCTAAGCAAACATGCAATTCAAAGCATTTCCCAATTTTAACTTAATTTCTCTTACTACAATAACCAAACAGGATATTACAATATCCCTGCAGGTTGGTTCACGGGTTCTTAACCAATTGTAGACTGTATTGCGCCTCTTCCAGGAAAGAACCAAACAGGTTCGATCCAGTTTTCAATAACATTGGAGATGAGAATCACAACTGATTTTCTGATGGTAGAGTTTGATAGAGTAATATGAAGTGTAATACTTACTGGCTGTCATGGCTGATATACTTCAGGAAGTTGGAGCCCGACGCTGGCTGCAGATTTACTCAAAACTTTTTTCATCTCATCAGACCTATCGACTGCAATGTTATAAGAAAACAGCAAGTCCTGTCCAAACCAATACATGCAGCATATTAGCACATGAAAGGAAAACAAAAATATCATGGTTATCATCAATTTTAATGTTACTTCTCCAAAAAACCATTTTAGTAGTGTCTTGCTGCTTTTAGAACTTAAGTTGCAAGTAGATGTGGCAATATAGTTAAGATTTTACATGGAAGGCTCTTGCTGATCTTGTCCTCAGTGCAATCATTGCCTAGTTACGTGGCGATAGTAGTATTGTGAGTTTGTCACAAGTGTGTGTTATTGCATCAGTTGGTGAACTTTTCCACCTTCAACTCTCTATCGGCCATGATTAAGCACATCCTATCTCATAGATCTCCATCCCATATTCATTTTCCCAGCACAACCAATACAGTAAAAAAATACACAATAGATGAAACTGTCAAACCGCTTTCAGGTGTTTTAACATTCGTACTCCGTAATAGATTAGATACTTAAAGTGCATTTTGTACGGGTTATTTGGCGGAAATGGTCGAATCTGGTGATTTTTTAGAAAGGAAAATCGTTTGATAAAAGTCGTTTTATCCTGATAAGTCAAATGCTACTTATAGAGGTTATCATGATTATTGTCCTATATAAGCCAAATAATAAGGCTACCAATCCACTCTAAAGTCCAATATTCCCAATAATACTTGTTTGTTTAAACCTCTCAGAAATCTAACAACAATTATAGGAGCCAGATAAATTTACACAATAAATTTTACACACAAGCAAGAACCCAATGTTGAATAGAAAATAGCCAAAACTATGAACTCAATTTAACTCAACCAAGCTTCTTTCAACCGCTGATTAGAGGGTGTTCGCTAGTTTCCCTTCATTTGAATTCCTACTAGGAACATAACTCCACGGAAAGCAAACATTAGTTTTCCTTATTTTCAATAAATTAGATCAAGCTTTTCTTACATCAAACCACTACCGAACACGAGAATCACTTGCAATTTTATGAAATTTCAAAAGAAACTCTTGAACTTTCAAGGCTGACGAATGCCCTCTTAGTTCAAGACTTCGAATCTGTAACAGGTACAGATTAGTTCAATTTCCCCATTCAGTTCTATCAGTGTCTAGTACATGGAGCAATTTAAACTACCTCTGTCCAATAAACAGAATATTGTTTCATCCATGCACATCCTTAATTTGTCTTGGGAAGAAACAGATGCTACACGCATTAACTAATATTATACGGAGTAATACGTAACTTATCAACTTTTTTGGCAGATTACATTGAAAAATAAGCATCACGAATCTACTTATGGGAAGGCAAAGACTATTTATAAATGAAAGTTGATATGCTTGAGCAATATTTCAGTAAGTTAGTTGTTATCTACTATAAAATGATACAAGAAACCTTTTGATGGTGAACACTATTGAGGAGAAAGGTATAATCTTTCGCAAGCTTTAACCTATTCTCCTGATGAGTGAAGGAAAGATCCTTCATAGCAGCAGCAGCAGCAGCTTTGCTATTAATGCTCTTCCTGAACTCAACTCTTATAAAGTCGGTGAAATGGGCTTTGTGCTCTTCTTTTCCTATGTGTTTCTTCACTGCTTTCACAAGGTTTCTGTACACCTCCTTCTCCATTGATTTTCTTCCTCGCAAGTCGCAACCTCGTCTATTGGGTTCTGAATAAATCTGCAACAATAATAATACGGAGTATACTCTAATCAACGAGCCGCCGATTTCTAAAACTCGATCTTGACAAGCCAACTTTAGGGAGGTTTTTAAATTTGTTTGTTGGGATAAGGCTCAAATAGGACATTATGGTTCATCAGAATCTCATATTTGACACTAAGGTTTCAAATGGATCCAATTAGACACTATGGTTTCATATGTATCTCATATTGGACACTAAAGTTTCATAATTCACAGGTTTTGGACACTCACTTATATTGGATAAAGATCAAATTGGACACTCACTTATATTGAATTATGAAACTTTAGTGTCCAATATGAGATACATATGAAACCACAGTGTCTAATTTGGTCCATTTAAAACCTTAGTGTCAAATGTGAGATTCTGATGAAATCATAATGTCCAATTTGAGCCGTGTCCTTTGTTTGTTTGAAAGAAAACGTTTTTTAGAGAGGTTGAGACAAAACGTTGAACCACTGAACTAATGAAAATTTGAGGCGACTAACGTATGGTTTAGTTTTTTTTACATAATTTAATGCATAAGGTCTCTGCAAGTATCGGGGATGGAGCCCCACTCTTTATCTGTCAGAGTGTGATTATTGTCCAATTTACATCCTTCCATCGTGTCGTCCGATCGGTGTTAGGGCCCCTCAGGGATGGGGTATCGTCCTTTTTTGAGTTTTTTACTTATTTTATTCTATAATAATAAGATCAATAATAATTACTCCATCCGTCCCACTACCAATGGTACAAGAGGAGTGACACACATACCATTAAAAGTTGGTTTAGAACTTTAGGTGATTGGTATTGATTTAATAAAATAAAACTAAATTTAAAATGATTTAGAACCATATGAATTTTACTAAATTTGATATGTGACAATCTTAGTGGGACAGACCAAAAAAGAAAAATGAGACAATTTTAGCGTGATAAGGGAAGAATTAATTAATTAACATCTAAAAGGCAAAGATTTTGGGGTTGATGTTTTGCGGCTCATTTGTAACTTCAGTCAACACAGTCACAAAAATAACGTCAATCTTATTTTTTCTTAGTTTTACACAATTCAGCACGCGAAAACAACAATTACATGTTTGATAAAAAAGTTGGTGATAAGCTGAAAAAAGGTGTCACCAAACGAACTCTAAATATCACTCAATATTTTCTTTTTTAAAAATCATTTGTGTTAATTCTTTTCGCGGAGATCAACATGACTAATGTGATATGCTATTAGCTTTTTATAGTCAGGATTTTCGGATGTGACAACAAAACTCATTTTCCATAATAACTTTAAGAGAAAAGTACCAACTCAGTCCTCGAACTAAAATTAATAGTGTAACTCACCTCTTATATAAGAGTCTCTGTCCGGTCGTCACCATTTGAGGCGGGGTTCCCGGTTGAATTTTTGATGAATTTTTTCAAGCATCTTCTTTCTTCATTAAGTTTAGTTTACTCATACCAAATTTCAGATAAAAATTCAATCAGGAAGGCAGTCAAATGAAGTTTTGTAGATAACAGCGCAATTAAACAGCGCAGTATATTTCAACGTTATTTTAGGTATAAATGTGTAATTACTTTTTAAGCATTACCCTCCCAACTTTTTAAGATGCTTTATGTGATTAAGCTACGTCCTAAATAATGTAAGCTTGTTAACTGCTTTGAGCTAAACTAAAATTATTTGATTAAACTGAAACTCAATACAAAATTAAGGATGTTTGGAACTGATTCTAATTCTGCTTCTTTTTTAAAGGAGAAGCCGAATGAGAATCAGTTTTCAGAAGCTGGTCTCCCCTGCTTCTCAAAAATCTGATTCTAGGAGTAAATTAGACACCAGAATCACTTCTGCACTTTCACCCAAACACTTCAACTTCTGCTTCTGCTCTCTAAAAGAGCAGAACCCGTTTTAAGAATCGGATCCAAACACCCCCTAAATGACCATTCATATATCTATATTATCCGTCAAATTATGTATAACGTTGAGAGGAAGTATATAGTAGCGTTGAGCCGAATCTGAGGAATTCGCCCTCCCATATATATAGCAGCCATCAACCATTATCCCAACCATTGCCCAACAAGTAAGGATGTTTTCTTTTAGACTGAAATTTGCTGGTCTGGTCTGATCTGGTCTGGTAAACATCTGGTATCTATGTATTTTATAACTACTGAAGTCTGGTCTGGTCTTGTCTGATCTGATCTGGTCTGGGACTGAAAACAATCCAAAAGAAAACATCCTAAGTTGTTATCAATTTCATTATGTTCCCGTAGATTAATTATTACTAGCTTTCAAGCCCGTGCAATGCACGGGCAATATGTAATTTAGCTAATTTGAATTTGATTTCTTTCGGATCATATGTAATGTGATTTAAAAGAAAAATAAACTTCGTCTAATATAGAGCCTGTTTAATATAATGTGATTTAAAAGAAGTATTCTTTTTAAGATTCTATATTAGAATATCTAATAGTTTTAATTTCGTTTTTTAAATTCAAATAATATAGAGCCTGTTTAATATAATGTGATTTAAAATAAGTATTGTTTTTAAGATTCTATATTAGAATATCTAATAGTTTTAATTTCGTTTTTTAATTTCAATTATATGGTGGTTATAATTTTTATCAATATTTTAATAATTAAGAAAGAATTGTATGAAGATGGAGCAAAATGCGAAGTGTTAACACAATTGCAAATCCGGGGCTTAGAATTTTAATCATTATCGCTTTCAAAAAAAGAATTTTAATCATTATCTCAACATTGAGTTTAGAAAAAGAAAATATTACATTCTAGGAAATGGGACACTATTATTACATTTTTTATTTTTATCAAATTACTTCGAAGACAAAATTAATAGCAATTTGGCTGATTTATCTGTTAAGTGGGCCAAAAACGAATACTTCATCTCTTTAATAGAATGCAATAAAAAATAAACAATTATAAAAATAATTAAATGATTGTTACTCCGTGAGTCCGTGCTTAAAATTTGGTTATTAATTGTTGTAGTTCCAATTAAATGATTTAATACTTATCAAATACGTAATAAGTTTTGAAAAAGTTACCAAATTAATTAAGGTAGATTTCTACGGATTTTTGTTTCCATATCAATATGCAATCAAAAATAGAATCTAGCTAATAAAAATAGAAGGTATAAAAATAACTAAATAATTAATATATATAATGACATGGCAGGATTATGTGGCGCTTTGTATGCTCTTAAAAAGTTCCTCTTATATATATATATATATATATATATATATATATATATATTTATATATATTGATTTGTTAACTGAGTCGGTTGCTTTAATTTTAGTGCAATAATAATACATATAAAGAGATGGACTGTAAGGAAGAATCATTCTACATAATTGCATTACTTTGCTAAATTCATTTTCCCGCTCAGTTTTATATCTATTTTTTGCCGCACGATCAAGCTAGAAGAGATCGACCGCTCACGTTTTATCCTCAATCATTTTTCGATCACATCATTTCTCGCCTCTCCAAAATTTGGTTCTACCATTCGCCGAAAATTTCTACAGAGATCACATCACGCCTTCCATCTCTAACCTATCTCCATTTCTCACCTATCTCAGAAATCATTTTTCTTCAATAGCAGGATATCCTAGTTCTGATTCGCATCACTCGATTTCTAATCTAGACTGAAGATGCACGAAGCTAAGCTATCTGCCGGAGTTGTGCGATGTTAAACTAAAGGAGTAGGATTGCGTTGATTTCTAGCCTGTCTCCTTCATCAGAAAACATATGAATTCAGACGCCTTCCTCGAAATCATCGGGAAAGATTCAGACTTTAAGCCGGCATGTCACGAAATCAACAAATTTCTTCCCTTCTTCATCTATTCATTTTCATCATGCATCTTCACCGTCATACTCTGCTCCTATTTTCTCGCCAACAGCCTCCTCTTTCTTGAATTACATGCCGGCGGCGTTTACTTGGACTCCCTATGCGCCTATTTCCAGGTTTGTGCTTGTGCCACCCGTGCCTCCAGTTTCAGATTCTGCTTTATTTAGGAAAGTTTAAATTCCAGAAGTCAGACACATTGTTTTCTACTCAACGTTTAGGAAAGTCAAAACAATATTAATCCTATTTTTATATTTTGCTTTGTGCAGATATATTTCAATAAAATCGGGTCTTTTTCAAATGTTATTCATCTTAATTTGGTTTTGTTCATTTTGAATAATTTCGTTCTACCCATTGATTTATATTGGTTCTGAGTTTATTGTTTTGTGAAGTCTATGCTTCATTACTTCAATATACAACTTCCTATAAATGATTTTGTTAATTTTGGACAAAAATAGGAACCAATATGAGAAATCAAAAGGTTATGCTGGATTGAAGCTGTTAACACTTTTTTTCTTCTTTATTTCTTTCTTTACTATCTATAAGTATTGATTTTCACAGAGATGTCCTATTTCATCTCTTTGGACGCTGACACACTCCTATATTCATTTTTCATCTCATAGGCATGCATGATGCATTCTTTCAAGGATTAAATACACACGAATGTGTTTTTTGTGATCACTTTTATTCACTTTTATTCTCACTGAGTAATTCTTTTTTGTCCAAAAATTAATTCAAGGTTTTACCTTCTTGCACTTCAATATTAGTAGGAGAGAAATTTGCAGACGGAAGAAACTGTTGCTCTGGAACAACTGCAGGAACTTTAACATAGCTTCAACATTCACTAAGCATGCTTGGTTCATATTTGCACTTTCTGCTATAAATCTATGCATAAATGCCTCTTTTGTTATATGGATAGGTATATATCTCTCAAGTATTTCATAAAGGGCAGGTTAGATCATGCCTCTTCTATGGTTTTGCAATGCCTAAATATTTCCTATTTTCATAAACTAGAAGTAAATCTCTCAAGTTTGCTAAATTTCTCTTAAGCATTTCATAAAGAGAAGGTTAGATGATGCCTCTTCTATGGTTTTACAGATGATAAATGGCTTTAAAACCGCAGATTCATTTGTGCAGTTGTGAGTTATTTTTCAGTTCAGATGAACTATTAATAATGTCAAAAATGTTTCATTGTCATTCTGAATATGTAATGTTTTAGGGTATAAAAGATTTGCCATTCTTAGA